ATGAGGTTGGAGGCCGGCCATCGCTATGAGGTTGGAGGCCGGCCATCCCTATGAGGTTGGAGGCCGGCCATCGCTATTAAGTTGGAGGCCAGCCATTGTTATGAGGTTGGAGGCCATCTCTATGAGGTTGGAGGCCGGCCATCGCTATGAGGTTGGAGGCCATCGCTATGAGGTTGGAGGCCGGCCATCGCTTTTAAGTTGGAGGCCACCGTACTAGGTTGGAGGTTGGAGGCCGGCCATCGCTAATTGGAAGCCGGTCATCGCTATTAGGCTGGAGGCGGGCCATCGCTATGGGAGGCCATCTCTATTAGGGTTGGAGGCCATCGCTACTAGGGTGGAGGCCATCGCTATTAGGTTGGAGTCCATCGCTATTTTAAACAAACTGAAAAAAGAAGAAGGGTCTATTTAGATAGATAGCTCCTACCAACGCTGTCAGCGTCTTTCCGTGCGGAACGTCCGTGAGTCAACAGCAGAACTGCGGGATGCAGCAATGAATTCAGGCTTGAGCCCAATTGTCCCGTTGAATGACAACTCTGAGTCAGTCAGATTCTTTATGAGTCCCTTCAGCACAGGAAACATCCAGTGCTGCCTGGTGCCACGACCTACGTGAACATGCGAAAGCTGAGCATTCTCCCAAATTCAGCAGCACAAGAAGTCCTCCCATGATGATCCTCCTTTAGGACCCCTCAGGCGTGTCCAAAACAAGTCCGAATGGATGTTGTGTCCGAGACTTTTTCGGCATCTCAGCACCATTAAATGATCATTCAAGTGGTGCACGGTGTTCACTCTGATTCATATGTGAAATGATGGTGCGTGGGTGTGTATAAGTATACTATGCATAACTTTTACACTGTGCAGTGCACCACTGCTGTTGGCAGTGCGAAATGCACGAGCAACCACGAAATCGCAGCAACTCGCAAGCTGGGTTTGACCTCTAGCGCACAGTGTGGCGCAAAAGCGCTACTGACGCCCAAGAGGTTGGAATAGTTCATATCATATAGTCGATATAATTATGTCTATCCTTGTCCTTGGGAACTTCTGAACAACGCAAGCAGCAAAGCAAGTTGATCAATTTAAGCACTGATAATATAAACCTTCTCCTCTCTGGCTTCGGCTACACGTGCGGCTCAGGTGACCCCCTAGCATCGTGGATCCGTGATGAAATGTTATTCAGAAATGTTGGGATGTTGTGAGGTCGCTAAAGATAATTACTGCATCGCATTTGAAGAACCCAGCCCAGCTGGTTCATGAAGTAAAATTTGTTGCAGCACCTGTGATTCAAATCACCATCCAATGCAAGGACTTGACACTTGGGGGTGTCAGCCTGGGTCGTTCTCAATGGCACTGGATCCGCTTCCCTGACTGCCTAACAATTGCATGTCCTTTTCGGGTGCTCAAATGCGATCGGAAAACCGGTCTCCGGGTCAATGCCAGCTCCTCAAGAGCGACTGATATGTATATATATATACAGTCCTTGTGCTTGAAGCAAATGATTGCATACATTCACAACAATTGTTTTCCAACATATCTTATCAACATTCGATGCTATTCCTGAAAGGGCAGCTGAGGATTGTCCCAGTCCATCCTTCCCAAAAATTCCTGCATACAGTGCATATGTAGATGTAGTGAGACGATCTGAGCATGAACGAGCAACTTTCACGCTTGGCATTGCAAAGACTTCAACGCTTCATGCGCCCTTGTGTTTGGTCCATCCCCCCAAACGCTAAGACCTTGCAGTGGTTGGCTATGCAGCTGTTCCCATCTCTTCCCACTCTGTGCTCTGAAAAATTGACTTTGGATTGAGTATGTTATGTTTCTCAATGGTGGACTATGAAATTTCATGAAATTTAAAAATTCTCTCCCATCTCCCTCTCTCTCCATGTATCTGTACTGACCTTGAGGGTCTAAAGGGGTCAAAAGTATCGACCATCGTGACACGACTTGAGGCGCCGGAGAAACCCTGCGAGCTCGCAGCATGGACATGAGATCTTGACCATGCAGCTCTGTCCAACGAGCTTTTGGTCGAAAGAATGGAGGCTTTGAAAGCAATATGGCAACACCATATAGTAACACATAAACAGCTTCTTAATGCGTTTTCTTTCTCTTTAACATTGTATAATGATCGTTGGGCAATCGGCGCAGTCGCAACCAAATGGTCAGTTCCATCTTCTCAAGATCAGTCAGCATTGCAGTTCAATCATATTATTGAAGAGTATATAGGTTTTTTAAAGGTTCAATCATAGCGGAAACCGGCTGCGACATATCTGATTATTTATGATATGTCTGTGGAATTGTTCTCAGTCTGGCGGGACAGGATGTTTCGCAGTAACCCGTCTAACCTTTAGGCTCCTCCATCCCAAACACCTACGCTCAGTGTGGCACTTGTCCATTGACAGCTGGCCGTTCTACTAGCGCGTCGAGAATCGCCGGCTGCTCAGGCTGCGATATATCCTGCGCCGGCTTGGCACGCGGCACCAGTCCGGACCGAAAAGAACAGATCCGCTGCTCGCCTTTGCAGCCCGCTGCCGCAACAAACGAGATCATCATGGCCTCCCACCACCACCGGGTCAGGAATACCTCGGATTGCAATTGGAGCTGGGTGGAAGGCTGGGAAATCAGCCGGGCCTCCGTTGATCAACGGCTCCCCTTCGCCGGCTTTCTCTGGGTGAGCTTCAACCTTGGGCTCCTGACAACGGTTCAAGGATGAACCCAAATTACAATCAGCAAATGATCATGATGTCAAATCATTGCATATTCATCAAAATTATGGATGACTCTGTCTGCAGGATGGCGGTCTTCCACCCGTCAATTGAAAACATGTCATAAATTGAATGGACGTTGGACTTTACTTTCACGCTTGGCCTGGGTCGATGGTGCGCAGCCATTTCCAACATCCAGCACAAATCCAGATTGATTCTCTCCCAACCTCTGGTGGGGCTTGGCACACTTTCAAGATCTTGTTTCGGGACAAAAAGCATGCTGCAACTGCAACATGTCACAATTCTATGCCAATCATTGCAAATCCTTGTGTCCAAATCCATCCATTTCTGACAACTTCTGTGTGACGTGGTTCTCGTCTGCACAGAAAACTCTCGGCTCCCCCAGCAAGGACTGCAGGCTTTGTGAGAAGCGTCGAGGAGACACCCTGGGAGCAGGCTACTGAGCGAGAGTCAACTGCGAACAGCTGGTGCGTCTGGCAAATAATTTGTCCCAATCTTCGCTGAACGGGGCTGTTCTGGCCCATGAAGGACCGCAAAACCATTGGATGGGCTCATAAAGGACTTGATCACTTCCTTTGTCTGGTCATTCAAGCTAGCTCTCGGGCACCCAGGCTCGTTGTGCCTTGCAGAGCACTCCCGCATGAGAGACAACCACCTTGGTAAGGCAACTCCTTAAACGGTTGGACATGCCAAGTAATTGCTGAATTCATCAGCAAACTCCTGGCTTGCTGCAGCCGCAAGCAGCCCATCTTTACGGCCAATTTTTCACATTTTTCAAAGCGTGGCGTGGCACTCGTTGATTACATTCAACGGTTGATTCATGTTGACTATGTGCCGAACTTGCTTAGGGCGCTTTTCTTGTTTTTGGGGAGCACCCTTCAACAGCTCATAGGCTCGGGGAAAAAGCATCACTGCTGTTGTGGCATGAGCAGTGAACGATTCATGCCACGCGGAAAGCCCAGCGTCAACCCCCCGAAAGACCAAGGTGCTCGTCGAAGTTGATGCCTCAGGCGCTTTCACAAAGACCAAACACCAGCGAAGCGCAAGTGGTCTGCAGGTGTCTGCAGACTGGGTATGGATGAATGGAGAATGCACAGGAGCAAGAACGCTACTAGGGGCTCCTGGCCTTACTTCTGAGAACAATGTGCTATTAGAAACAATAAAAAAATAAGACACTAGAATTGACACAAGAAGCTGGGTATGCATGTATGGAGCATGCAATCAGATTCCGAGAGGACGCTGCTCAGGTGTTCCGGAGCCTTTTCGATGTCAACATATACCTGTTACCGGATGTTGTTGTGATCCTGGGCATAGAAGAAAACTTGTGGCACCAATTTTCCATGAGGATTCCTTTGCACTGGACCGACCATAGAGTCTAGACATGTCTAGACTCTCTCCAAAGCTTCAAGCCAACAAGCCAACACCTTTCATGCAGGAATGCATCCCCAATGTCTTCAATCCCAACTTTCCACTAGCGCATGGGTATGATATGGTATGATATAGATCGAACAAATGATGCCCAAATTGTCCGGCTTTCATCCTCTTTCCACACCAGCTACAGGGTGATGGCCTTCCAAGCGCCCTGCGCTTTCCGCCGTTCCTCCGCGCTCCGAGCCGTGGCACTTTCCTCGGAGCTGCCGAAAATCTGGACGACCTCTTCAGCCACCTCTTCGCACACCCCTGATGTCCACACCTGGAGCTCCAGGTCTTAGCCAACACACATCGGGTCACATCGAGTACCAGTGTCTTAACACTCTTAGTACAGTTAAAGACTTCAAGTTTTTGGGGTGAGTACCCCAAGCTTGGAGTATGTTTCTCGGTAGTTAGGCAACAAGTATGCTTCTGATGAGGAGTCCCCATGCAAGGATGCATATGCGTGGTACGGCAATACCTTCGGAGCCGCTGATGGCTATATCAATGATCAGTGATAACAAAATACATGTGACAACTTCTGCTGGATTTCAATTTGGTCCAGGAAGTTTTGATTGAAACCAAAAGGAGAAAAGGGATGGAAAAGGGACAACCGAAACCACATGCTCGACATGTTTTCACATGTGTCCAAATCTGCTCATCACCCTCTCCGACGAGGTGACGAGGTCCATTTTCTCGGGCCTGGGTGATATCGGCACGCTGCAGGACTTGCCGTAGTTCCTGAACCCGGTCCACCGGCCAACGATCCATTTGATCTGTTCAACCAGTGCGACTGGTGGATTTTCAGTCTGAAAATCCTCTAACCTGCACAGGTGCCATGGTGGAAAGGACGCAGGTTTTGCGCCTCATGCTTAAGTTGATGTTACTGTTGATGTTCATATGTTGTCTGGGCATCACCGCGAAGAGTCTTATGATGGCTGAATACCACCGAGTATCTCATGTTGAACGTGCTGAGCATGTTTAACATAAAATGGTCGAAGATTCTATGCATTCTCTCGGTCTTACTAATGAGTTGGACTCATCCCTTTAAGTCGGTGTTTCATTTTTGGGAGCTCGATCCTACACAACTGGGAGACATTAAAGCTAGCTCCTTCTTTCAAGTTGACAATGAATTGCATGTCAAAGGTTGATGTTTGATGTTTGTTCCTTTCTTGCGTTTCAAGCGAGGTATCAAAAGATGCAATCCAGCCAACTTGTTTAGGACGAAGCGCCTGGTGTTTTGTGTAGTTGCCATTCTGATCTAGGCAACGCTTTGCAAGCAATCTGGTAAAATAGGCAATCCGGACGGAGTGGGCTCAGAAATGGAGCTTTGAACCAGTGAAATTCAAGCTAAAATTGTTCCGAAGGCTGTTCCAAAGGTGTTCTCAGCAGCACACTTTTCGAATTCCGCTCACGGTGTTCCGCCTCCTTGGAGATCTTCCCGTCGTCGTGGATGTCGAAAGTTTTAAAGGCTGACCACAGGATCTCAGTCACGTCAAGGATAAACGCACTCAAAGTCGTGAGCGATTGGTGCCCATCTGCGCATTGAAAAGTCACAATGTGATGTAAACTAATGTACAAGAACAATATATATATATATACCAAAAACATCAAAACACAGATTTACTTGAATGCAACCTGACTGATCAGTCTAAGTGGCTTTGATTCTGGCTTGATACATTGATAACTTTGAGGCCAGCACATGCTCATCGGCAAAACCATCTTCGCCCAAGCCTGATCACAACGTGACCCGCGGCCCCAACGGCTGCATGTGATGTCCTGCAGGAAAGACTCTGATCTGCAGCTGTCCATCCTTGCTCAGTTTTGTGTACTGAACTGTACTATTGATGTCCTTTTGGGAACACTAGAGTTGGTTGTCACTTGGTCACTTGGTGGCAATAGATTATAGATGGTAATTATTCGAAGGCCATCTATGTATGCTTTAGCCCGTTCCTGCCCCCAATGGTGACCAGCTTCCAAGCCGGTCTAAACAAACTCACCCTCTCTCTCTCTCTCTCGACCCGGTGGGACAGCCTGCTGCACAAAACTCAGTGTAGGTGATCCTCAGGCATCCACAAACGCGTCATTCACGGCCGCTGCTTCAGGCCACTTCATCAAGCACCACAGCTGGTGTCCTAATTACATCTCACTCCCTTGCCATTGTGAAACACCTGCAGGTATGATTGGCCGAACTCATGCCAAGGTATCAAAACCAGAGAATGGCGGTTTTTTAGAGACTCTGACTGTCCCTCTCCTTCCAGACCCGTCAAGATCCAAGTAAGAGAAGATCTCTTGCACCTCAGCCTGCGAGCACGACCCAGTGGCGAAGGTGATGATCTACTAATCAGTTGTGGTTTGGTTTCATGTGTTGGTGATCTGGAAGCGTCGTCCTGGCTTCAGCAAAAACACATGGCTTGTAGCCCCACAAGCCCCTAAAAACGGTCCACAAGCTCAAAGTGACAATTGCTCTGCGAGTATCAGGCAATTGTTCTTTGCACATGGCCAAGACCAATCAACTCAAAGCACACCTCTGTGACCGCTTCTGGATCATCCGGATGAAACGCTTGAGCATAGCCTGCCGACTTGCAAAAGCTCTGCAGGTCTGTCCCCGTACAAACATGACTGACATGACTGTGCCCAAAGCGAGTAACCCACCAAATGCTCTGACTGCTTGATGATCCCTTCGGCTGATCACTGGGTGGGCGGTTCACTGAGACTTGTGCGAACTCAATGATTTGCAGAGCAAATCAATCGTATGAGACCAAGTGTGCAGCCCAGCAAAAGTGGTGTGAGGAATTGGGGATTTCACTCTTAAAACTGCAAGGGGCAATCATCAATGTTTAGTTTCACTGCCTCATCAGCCCTCAAGAGGTGTTCAAAGGGATTTGCAACGCAGTCAAAGCGCCCAAACCTTCTTTGATTTCGTTCAAGGTCAAGATCCCATCACCTGAGCATGTAGGTCAAAAGGGATTTTTGAGATTACAATTGTGTTTCTTCTCGGAACGAGGAAGCGACAAAACCATGAAACTTGGGCTGTACGAGACTGTTTTTTGAAGCCGGGTTAGTGGCAAACGATTTCTATAGTCTATAATTGCCCTGATCACGTGTTCTATTCAGCTTTCAAATCCACCCGCACCGAAGGTGCTGAGGCGTTAAACTGTCACTATGCGTTCATTATCGTTATATAATTCATTGCTATATAACTTTGGTTAGGGGTGCATTTTCGTGTGGCAACCAAGATGTGTATTCTGCATCATGAGATGTGTCCGGGAGAGGAGAGGGAGTGGGAGAAAACATTGAAAAACACATGGTTTGCATATACAGTATCAGGTATGCCTGACTGCATTTCTCATCATCGTGCCACTTGCATCACCAGGTCCATGAAAAGGAAACAAACGACTCCTCTCAACAGCCTATGTCTCATGATTGCATCTTACGCATCAGCTGGTTGCAGTTGTATGGTTTGTTGTGGCGACATATGCACCCAGCTGGTTGGAATTGTGTAGTTTATTGTGCAACATGCATGCAGGTTAGTATAATTTGGACACCCTGAAAAATGTACAGTTTCAAGGGGGGCGGAAAAAAAGGTGTGCGACAATGAAAATGGAGCGGTTATTGTGACTAATTGGCTTTGATTCATCCACTTCATGCTGCTTTCTTCTTTAAGTCTTGTCTCGATCATGCACACTGTAACGTTTATTGTGCATAATAACAACTCTATTTTGAGAAATGCACATGTTTCAGCAGCCCACATTATAAATGTGACTTTGCTAGCATTGTTGGATGTAATTTGGAACCACTCAAAAATGTACAAATTCAGGGTGGTCAATATATCATCCAACGATGCTTGCAAGTTGCAAGTAAGACATGGCAGAACAAGTTGTGAGAATGTCAACAAATACAGTGATTATAGACATAACAATATAAAAATTATATGATTATTTTCCCATTCACTTCATAGTGTTGCCTCGATCACGCACATTGAATGTTTACACAACTCTATTTTTCGACCCCTTGAACAGGTACAATTTCAAGGGGGCCGAAGAGTAGATCCAACAATGCTTGCCAATAACTCAACAATTTGTGAGACGGTCAAACATAGTGATTATAGAGACTTCTTTTACACAGCCAGGTGCGGGCGGTTGTCGCGAAGCGACCCGAATAACCCGAGTCGTTCAACTTGGACTTGCCCAAAACAGCTGGCTAGGACTGGACATGACCAGTTGGCACCTGTTGTCCAGTGTGTTTTCACGGTGGGTGTGTATCAAAATAGGGAGACCTCCCAAAGTTAGACCCTCTGGAAGAAGGAATATTGATAAAACCCATTGGTTGGGAGGTCCACCTATTGGAATACGAGCCCCCTGAACATGAACACTGTGTGTTTTCACGGACTGTTAGGCGGTGCGAGCTTCCTTGGTCTCCCAACAGTTCTTGTCCAACATGAAAAAGGCATCGCGAATGCCTCAGATGCAGCCCCCAACGAACAAAACAACCAGTGCAAGCTGCTCTAGGGCCTCACCTCTAGGCTGCAGGGGGGCTCATAGCAATGGCCGCAAAGCAGTTTCAAACTTTGCTTGCAAACTGTAAACAACTGCAAGGCCAACAGGCTTCCTTTGACATACCCCTGAGTGATCCTGAGTGAGGTAAGCCAGGACTCCCAAGCGAACGTCTGCTATCCTTGTGCCCGAGCAATTATATAAAATAACTCGCGCTGATTCAGTTGGAGACACCGCTTAAGCTCCTGTGGTCCAGCTGCCGTGCGACCTCAAGGCAACATTGAGAAGAGCTTCAGGTTTGTTGAGGTTAGCACAACCTTCAACAAACGCAAAGGCAAAGAACACCCTCCATCTGCAAGCACTTACATCACAAACCTGAACTCTGTTGGCAATTGCATTAGAAGAACCGACGGTGGACAGCACACTCAATGCACAATCGCCAGGTGGCATTCCACCTACTACGTCACGACACACATGCTACTTCAACAAACATGGACATCAGTTTGCAGGTAAACAGGCATGCACAATTTCAGCAGCCACCGAAAGCACGCGATCATCAAAATGTCTAGCAAGTTGGCTAAAGGGACACTCACCAATCGCCCTGCTGGGAATGGAAGGGGCTCTTCTTGGAGTAGTAGTCCCC